GTTATGGAATACTAGATCCGCAATGACGACGATCCAGCGACAAACTGGCTTCATGACTTCGATGGTGAATGTCACAATTTTTGGAATTGAGTTTAAATGCAACATTTTAGAATTTAACAGTAATGTTGAGGAAGTAAATTTTATGGATCTAATTTATGATAGTTATGATGGTCCACCTATTTTTGACGAGATTAAATCATTTTCAGATTTTTCTGTTGACGGTTGTGATGGCCCACCAATTTACACGAATAAGTTGGATGCTGATAAATTTCTAGATTTAGGTGATGGTAGTTATGATGGTCCACTTATTTTTAAGCTGGCATCGAGGAAGATGCTCCTGAAGAGTGGATTGAAGAATTCAATATGTTGGAAGAGAATCATGATTGAGAAGTATATAACCCAACTTACTTATCATAACTTTTGTCAATCAATGAGATTAAAAAACCTCAGGAATATAAAAATGTTCAAATAGGTAAAATCCGACAAAGAATTGACTCAGGCATAGTGGGGGAGCCAAATCGCCTTAAGGGGGCAGAAAAATATCGAGTGGGCAAAAATATACATGTATTATGTATTTAAATTCAATCTTACTACATAGATTTTTAATAAAATCAAAATGTTGTGGGATCAGTCGACACTCCCAGCCCCTATGGCTCCATCATGCTTAGACGCCAACAGAGGAAGAAGAACACAACCATTAATTCTACATATATTGATCAGTATTGGGATGTTCAAGAAGAACACACAGCCATTAATGCAGTTAACTTCATCCAAAATTATTTCAAGTTATCACTTTCAAGTATTATTCAAGATAGAAATCGAAATCGATGTGATTCTTTGGAGGAAATTCTATTAGCTGCCCAAGTTTCTCAGAATTTTCAGAATCAAGAAAAATGGGGTGGAACTTATGCTATAGTCGACTCAGCTAGTGGAGTCCTACTTTTTTGAGGCTTTGGATGCCAAAAGAAGGATGCAAATTTTGAAACAAATCTTCTCCAACCGAAGAGAATGATGAAGGGGGATTGATGGCCCAACTTCGGCTCTTCTTTTAATTATATTTCATTGATTAATTTGAATATTCTTGCACTTCAACTAAGGGCGTATATGTCCTTCGATAATTTCAAGGTTTTTTCTTTACCTAGAATCTCTACATAAAAACTTTATGCTTTGTCACTTTTTTGGAGGATTTGAATATTGATAAAATTGAGATTTTTCTCATATTCTGGTTGAATTTCGTTATTCATTGACACCCAAACATCTGGTATTTGTAGAAACAATGGGTATATGGAGTGTGTTGAATCTTCCACACTTCGCGCTGCATGAGACGGTAGCCGATGGGAATAATTAGGCATAGTGGGCCTTGAAAGTTTTTGATTTAGCAACAACTATTTTAGGATAAGGAAATACATAAATACAACGTAGTAAATGTATCTATCAGAAGATATCGCAATAAATGAATCTACCATGAAAGTCTACTTATGGGATTTATTGCTTTCTCAAGCATTACAATTAAAAAAATAAAATTTTAATTTACAACACTGTATAAGGTCGACTAAACTTGGAAATGATGTACCAAAATCTACCTCTGATGTATGACCAAAACGATTGACTGTTGAAGTGAAGCTTTTATGGTAGCAAAGGCAAGAAGTGGTTTGGAGCAATTGGACCTCTCGAAACGCATGTGGATAAGGATTCAAATAATGCGTGCAAAATTTTGAAACAGATTATATTAATTTTTCGCGCTTGGGACATAAAATATTGCTGAAAGTTACCAGGTCCAATGCTGTTACATTCTATAGATCTGAGGAGAACCAGATGCAGAGATTCCACTACAAATGATCATGTGTTGTACAAGTTCTGCCTCTTTAGCATTCACCAGAACTCTCCACAGCTGCATATTCCGTTCCTAAAATGATGAAATCGACTTGTGTCTCTAACGGTTATTTCTCTCTTAGTGATGATTGTTATGTATTTTAGAGCAGCATGGCAGTCACCACATACCCTCAAATTCTTGGTAACAATAATAGGCCTGTTGGGTTTTAAGCTAATTATTCCAAATGCAACAGCAAGTTTCTCACTGTGATGAAGTAGAATCTTTTCCTTCTCCTCCTCTTCAACATCTTGGTACACAAAAGTAGACTCTGGTTTATACCCCAATTCTTTCATTTCTGCCAAGAATTCCTCTAATTTCTTGTTTATTTTACCTGACTCGGGATGAGACCCATCTCCTCCAACAAAAGCATGAACAATCCCATTTACTTCGATCCAACTACATCCTGGGCTCTTCTTAAAGCCCAAATTCTTTTGCTTGATTCTGACATGCGCAGCATCATTCCATCGTTGAGCAGTCGTGTACAAATTAAATAAGAGGACAAAATTTCCAGTACCTTCAGGTTCCAAGCTCTGGATCCTATTTGACACTTCTTCTGCTAGTTCAACATTCTTGTGGATCCTACAAGCAGCAAGTAATGCAGTCCATATTTGAGCATCAGGTTCAAATGGCATTCCACTAATGAAATGCCGAGCTTCGTCCAAAAGACCAGCACGGCCCAATAGATCCACCATGCAGAAGTGGTGATCCATCCTAGGGACAATATTATATTCTTGAGTCATGGAGAGAAACCAATGCTTTCCTTCATTTACAAGCCCTGAATGACTGCAAGCTGATAGGAGAGCAATGAAAGTTATGTCATCTGGTTTTTCGCCTACATTCAACATTTTATGGAACATGGAAATTGCTTCCCTAGCAAGTCCATGAATGCCATAACCAACCATCATTGCATTCCAGGAGACTACATCCCTCTCACACATTTTATCAAAGACAAGCCTAGCCATATCAATCTTGCCACATTTAGAATACATGTCAATAAGAGCATTACAAATTGAGACATCTCCTGTGAATCCACACACTATTGAGTAGCCATGACCACATACCCCATGTTGCAGAGCTGCCAAATGAGAGCAGGCTGGCAAGAAACCCATCATGGTTGCCAATTCCGGTTCTATCCCTGCTTTTCGCATTTTGAGAAAAATTTGCAGAGCTTCCTCTGCATTACCATTATGAACACTGCCTGAAATTATAGCACTGTAAGAAACTGGATCTTTCAATGGCATTTCCTCAAAAAACCTGATAGCATCATTGTTCGGCCCACACTTTGCATACATTGAAAGAATTGTGTTACTCACCATTAAATCGCAATAATAGGCCAGTTTAATTGTGTAACAATGTATCTGTCTCCCTATATTCAGGTCATTCAGCTTAGCACAACCACGAATAACAGTTGCAAGCATAACAGGAGAAGGACTAACAGCAACCTCCACCCTCATTTTTCGAAACAAATCTAACCCCTCTGTTGTGGCATCGCAAGTGACAAAAGCTCCAATCATAGCAGTCCAAGTGATCTCATTCTTGAACCTCAAGGCACCAAACATCCGCTTTGCATAAACCAACCAGCCACATTTCCCATACACATCCAAAAGTCCAGTTTCAACTACTTCCTCACCATCAAAACCCCTCCTCAAGCAAAACCCATGTATAGCTTTTCCTTCCCTCCACCTACCTGCCTCCCCAATTGCTGGCAGAATTGCCGCAACAGTAGATGAATTGGGATTTACCCCCATATGTTGCATCTCTAACACCAATCTAATTGCATCCCAACACAACCCATGTAACGAAAACCCAGAAATCATTGCGTTCCATGCGACAACATCTCTCTCAAGCATTCTGTCGAACACCTCCATTGCTTCCTCCAAACATCCACACTTCATATAAAAATCAACCAACGCAGTATACACATATACATCACAGCCAAGATCGAGCCTTTTCACATGTCCATGAATCTTCACACCATTTTCCACATCCTGCAATGCAGAACAAGCCTTTAGTACAAAAGGGTACGTAAATTTTGTCGGCATTACACCAGAGTCCACCATTTCATAGTACAAATCAATGGCTTTCTCAAAGGGACCATCCCATGCATATGCCCTAATCATTTGGTTCCATAATATGGTCTTATATTTTCTTTCTGAGATATGTATCGAGTTGAAGACTCGTTCTGCAAGTTGTGGCTTGTTGCATGAAATGTAGAGGCGAGTGAGCTTATCCAGTAGTAGTGATTGAGTACTACTAAAGTCATTATTGCTTAATTTGAGGAGATGCTGATGAATTATTTTGCCATGTTTGAGTGATTTTGATGCGATACACGCTTCAAGAAGCTGTACATAATTATTACACATCTCCTCTTTGGGAGTTTTTATCAGAAAGGTGGAATGCTGTCTTCTCGGAGCATTAATATGAGTTGCCAGTGAGTTCTTAAGGTGAAAAATATTTTTAATTTTCAATTTTTTTCAGTATGTCAATATTTTAACTTTGAAGGGACTACTTTGTATGTATTTGTTTCAAAAGGGATCGAGCCACGGCTGCCCAAGCGGTCGATATCGATTCCATCTGGGCCACGGCTCGACCTGCATTATGTGAGCTGGGCCGAACTTTTAAGGGATTTTTTTCTCTTTTTTTTTTGGGTAAGTAATGGCCATTAAATTAGGTCGCCACGAACAGCAAATAACACAAATAAATGACGACAATTCAACAACGAGACGAAATCCCATCTACAACGAGAAATGATACAAACTTATGGGCCACGGGGAATAAAGCTACAAGGACCATAGTTAATCGAAGCAACAAAAAGAAAAATGAAAGAAATACTGGACAATAAAGCTTCGTTGTGTGCTAAATTAAAATCCAATTTCAGTGACTGAGTAGCTTAAAGAGAATTGCATTCAGCCACCTGCCAAGATTCGGATAGATGAGACGAGTAGGTGCTCGCTCGACACTATGCAACTCTCTCTTAAACTTGTCACACTTTTTATTCATTTTTTTTGTAGAAACAACAACTTACTACCCACTTACCATCTACACATTATGTAAAATCCTGCTTATAAGCATTTAAAAGCAAGCACTAAATCCGTGCTTGTTTAAAGAAGAAAAGACAACTTCACCAAAAAAAAGAATGGAAAATCCATCTATATATGTTGAAATTGTCAAACTTCACAGGGCTGCAACAATAAAAGATTTCAATAGCAAAAATAAGTTTAAAAGCTAACTGATTACCCAGACTATACAACAGTATCGATAATGGCATAATCTCGAATATAATCATTCCAAATCTCAGTTGCAATAGAATCTCGCAATTGTGAAGCATCTTCTAATTCTTCTGTTCCAAAAGAGACGTCCGAAAGTTGTGTTTCAGCAGGTACATACGGCTGTTCGATTTCTAGAGGTGGCATTGGATCTTCAAGTTGTAACACGGATTCCTGTTCATACATTTGAAAAATCCAGTCATCATGCTTCTCTCCACGAATGTAATTGTGTAGGGCACATGCTGCTACTACTAGCTTCACTTGCGTTGTCAAAGGGTAAGGAGGAGCCGACATTAAAATAGGAAAACGTTCTTTCAAGGCAGCAGAAGTACGATCAGTAACATTGCGCAAAATGGAATGGCGCTGATTGAAGAGCTCTCTATCATCTCGTGGGTGGAAGCCACCACCAAATTCAAGATGACTGTAAGAGACTCCAGGATATGGAGCAATGAATCCAGGGATATTTGCATATTTGCCATCCACGAGGTAATATTTACCTGTATTGCAATATTATTTCCAATAAATATGCAGAACACTTCACCGGTTCATACATCAATTGCCATCATGGAAATTAATTATCACTTTAGAATTCATATACACATTAAAGAAATTGCCAGCTGTAATTTGGTTGAAAAAATGGAGAAAGGACACAAGTTAATCCATATATGATTCAGAAATTATAGTAGCAGAAACATCAAAAGAGTTCTTTTGTAGGAGCTCTTCGATGATATAATTAATCAGATAAACATGTTCTTTAAGAAAAAGGAATCAATTAAATTTCAATGTTCCTTAAGCACTAAAGTGACTTCGCTGTAGATCATGAACATACCGTCAGGTACTTCGAGTTTGTTACGCCTAGTTAGAGCTGAATTTAGGACCCGCATATCTGGGGCAGAGCCTTCCCATCCAGCAAGAACATAATGGAATTTCATGTCGAATGAGCATGCTACCAAAACATTTTGCGAAAGAAAACCATTCATATTTCGGAAAGGTCCTTGCTCGTCTACACCTACTGTCACTGGGAAATGTATGCCATCAACTGCTCCAACACAGTTCTTGTTGAAAATTGTAAAATATAAGCCAATGAATTTCAGGAAAAGAAACCAAACAAAATTGAAGTTTATCAGAATTAACATTACCAGAAAATAAGGGAAAAATCGAGGATCCTCTCGAATTTCTTGTGAAACTTCAGAATTCGGAGGCTCAAAGAAATCTAATGAGACAGCCATAATTGCACTCAGAACATTGTTGAAATGACGACTAATGGTTTCACCTGAGTATCTGAAGAGCTCCTGAACTGCTCGAGTCCGTAGATTATGACCAACTATGAACATAAATATTGCTAACTGCTCCTCAATCTTAATTCTATTTGTGTGACGTAGTAGCCCTCTGGTTTGTAACATATCACACAGCTTGTAGAATACAAGTTTATCCATGCGAAAATTCTCCAAGCAAAGTTCATTTGGACCTTTAAGAACTTCATCTACAAATTTGGTACCATTAGAGACTATAGGATGGCCTAATTCCTTGGGAATGGAAGCTTCAAAGCCACCATCTTTTTCATCTTCCAAGCTCTCCATGGTAAAGCCACTTGCTACACTTCCCTTGGCTATGGAGAAATGTCACAAGCCGATAACAATGTAGGACATAGCTTCAACTTGGCTTTCAATGTTCCTGGAAACTAAGGTTAGATGCAACAGTAGCCACAGAGTGCAACTGAGACCAATCTCAGGAAAAAATTTACAGCATTTAAATACTTGTTTACAACACGTCAAAAGACATGAGTGCTTTCATGATTACTAAATTTTGGATAAGAAGCTATCAAGCCTAAAAAGCTCCAAAGAAAAACATAATTCTTAATCTGTTTCTACAGGAGACAGTGTTGCAGGACATCATAGAAATTTATCCAAAATTTATTAGGTATCGAATCTAAGGAGTGATTTCTATTACTAGTCGGGCCTGAGAGATTCCTGGAATCCTTTAGAACTTAAGTGCTGATTTCTATTCTTATTCTGAAAGTTGCACAGCTGCAATCTTCTCGAGAGTTGAGACTATACGAAAATCAAGAAATAACGCTGCCATTTAGTACATTTCTAAAATCTGAAAATAGATTATCCGAGAACGAGTTTTCACTTGTACACAGAGAAAAAACTAAGGGTCTGTTTGATTGCGAATATGGAATTTAGGTGGAAAGAAAATGAATTCCAGGGAATTGAATTACCTAGAAATTGTTTTCATGGAAATTGTAAATTATTGTGTTTGATTGTATAAACTTTTCACGTGGAAAATGTTGAAGTAAAAATTATTTTTTGATGTTCGTTTGACTTTGTTTTACGTGGAAATTGTCAATTTCAGGGATATCCTCTTTTACAATTATTCCTAAAATTTGTTCCCATTGCCAACAATTAAAAAAAAAAAAAAGCAAAAAAAATAAAAATAAAAAAAGGGGGAAAACCAAAAACCACCTATCCCCTAGGAAAAAAAAAGGTGGAAAATCACGCTTTAAGGTGTTGTACCTAGAAATTCATGGAAAATCAATTCCCTGAAAAATTTTGTCAATCAAACAGGCAAAAAGTGGAAGTTGGAATTCGAATTCCAAGTTCCATGGAAAATTTCGTGCAATCAAACGGGGCCTAAGAAGCGCTTAAAACTTCATAATGAGCTGATATTCATATTAAATCAGTGAGAACAGGCTAAAGCTAGAAAGATCATCAATGCAGCCTTCAACTCCTAAAATCATTATATGATCTCTATAAAAATAAAATAAAAAAATAAAAAAAAATCACTCAGCATTCTTCTGAAGCATTTAATCAAATAGATCATATGCATTCTACCAAGTTATCACAGCAATAAGAGTGAATGACCAAATCAGAAAGCCAATTATTACCTCCACAAGTTATTAGTTCAACTCAAATAAACAATGCCCTTATGAGAGAATTTGGTGTTAGATTACCAATCATCATACGCCATTCATTTACCTCACAATAAAAAGCTCCTTCAAAACCGCTATCGAAATACAAAATTTCTCTTCATTTACTCGAGGAAATTTCAATTAGTTGCCAAACAAATGCAATTGAAGTTAAAACTTTTCATTCTTTTAAAGATTTTTTTTTTCCCTAGAAAATAATGCCATCTTGGTTTTGCTTTCATTTTAACTATTTAACACCTCACAATTACCGTCATTCTTGAAACCCAAATTACAGTGACAAGTGAAAGGAACAAACCAAGAAACAAATAACTTCTGACACAAAAGGTGGGGAAAAAATTCTGAACTATACAATATGCTTTCATTTGGACCAAAATCAAGAAATTAAATTCACAATTGATGCCCAATATTAAGAAAAGAATAAACCCAAAAAAGAAAAAAAAAGACTGTCATACCAGAACATCAGTTTTACAGGAAATCCCTCGAAATTAACAAATTATCTTCTCGCGTCGCCTGGAAAAATTGAGTGCGTGCTGTTCAAGAGAGCTGTGTGCGTATGAGAAAGCAAACGAAAGAGTCGGAATTTTAAATAAGTCGCGTTTCATTGAGTTTCTCAAAGTAAACATGACAACAATTTAATTGGGACCTGACCTAAATTAATTTGAAGTTTTGATTTGCCAGTGTAATAATGAATCGAAGATTAGATAATTTTTGTTGTCAAATAAAGAAACTTGAAGCATGATACGAGTTTTTATGCAAGAATCGCATTCTAAGTTTGTTACCGGCGCCAAAATATTTGGGTTGATTCCGATCGAGGTGATGGATAATTATGTTAAAATCGTATTTCTTATAAATGCATCACATTTTATTTGCATTAAAAATTAATAAGATTTAATGTTCTTAACTTTTTTTTGACCATATTCTTATTATTAATCTTTCATGAATTAACACATACTATCTTTGATGATTAATTTCATCCAAAATTTATGCTAGGAGATATAAGGGA